ACTTGCTCTTTGGGAACAGGGCTTTCAATTGGGGTTTTACCTGGTCCCCCCCCACAACCACCCCACCCCCCGCTGATGCAGCCGTGGTTCCTGTGCCCTCAGTGCCTCAGGTGTCTGCCCGTTGCTCTTGGTAAATGGAAGGAGACCGGACCCTCCTCCCGGCTGCCTCGCTGGCGTGCACAGCGGCCCTGGCAGAGAAACCCTGCTGGGAACCCCGCACCAGGTCCCGAGTGGGCTCTGTAGGTGAACTGGGCGCTGCCCACGCACAAGCTTAAGGCCGTGAGAGGGGGGAGGTGACTGCCGGGGGAGAGGGGGCACCCAGCTCTGCCACCAGCGAGGTGGAGGCCACTCTACCTATTGGATCTGATTCACGCGTAAGAGGCCAGAGTGCAGTTACCTGGTCTCGGGAGGAGGGTTTGGGAGAGTGTCTAGAGCAGTGGTTCTCAACCGTCTGGCCCTTTAAATACAGTTCCTCACGTTGTGACCCAACCATAAAATTATTTTCGTTGCTACTTCATAACTGTCATGTTGCTACTGTGATGAACCGTCATTTAAATATCTGATGTGCAGGATGGTCTTAGGCGACCCCTGTGAAAGGGTCATTCGACCGCCAAAGGGGTCGCGACCCACAGGTTGAGAACCACTGGTCTAGAGGCCTTCCTGAGGGTTGCTCGGAGCAGCGTGGAGAAGAGCTCGCTTTTAGTAAAGGAGAGCGAGGCCTCTGACAGGGCCTTCAGGGCAAAGGGGAAGGAGGCCCTGCCCGCTGACCAAGGCGAAGGGAGGCGGAGGCCTGCTGTCCGGGACGGCACGCACTGGGGTGCAGCCCAGCACTTCATTTCAGGTGCGCGCTGTCTGTTTTTTCTGTCTCTATTGCAGTTTTTACTTCTAACAGAAAAATTTACTCTTGTTTAAAAATGTCAGGATTGGTGAGACCTTTGAAGGGTTCTGATCCAACCGTGACCCCCCACCCCACAGATCTCAGCACCCCTCAAACAAGCATGTATTTGTAACAGCCTAGCGCATCCTCTGTGCCTCCTCTGCACACGGCCGTTACACGCGTCCTCTGTGCCTCCTCTGCACACGGCCGTTACACGCGTCCTCTGTGCCTCCCTCTGCACACGGCTGTTACACGCATCCTCTGTGCCTCCCTCTGCACACGGCTGTTACACGCACCCTCTGTGCCTCCTCTGCACACGGCCGTTACACGCGTCCTCTGTGCCTCCCTCTGCACACGGCTGTTACACGCATCCTCTGTGCCTCCTCTGCACACAGTCGTTACACTCGTCCTCTGTGCTTCCTCTGCACACGGCCGTTACACGCACCCTCTGTGCCTCCTCTGCACACGGCCGTTACACTCGTCCTCTGTGCCTCCTCTGCACACAGTCGTTACACGCGTCCTCTGTGCCTCCTCTGCACACGGCCGTTACACGCGTCCTCTGTGCCTCCTCTGCACACGGCCGTTACACGCGTCCTCTGTGCCTCCTCTGCACACAGTCGTTACACGCGTCCTCTGTGCCTCCTCTGCACACGGCCGTTACATGCGTCCTCTGTGCCTCCTCTGCACACGGCTGTTACATGCGTCTTCTAGGCCTCCCTCTGCACACAGCCGTTACACGCGTCCTCTGTGCCTTCTTTGCACATGGCCGTTACATGCAGCGTGAGGAGCCCGCCGCGCCCGGCACTGGGGAGAGCTGGGCAGGGGCGCTGTCAGCTGCTGGGCGTGGTGTGCTCGGTCCCGCAGCTCCATTCCGCCCCAGGACTGCGCTGCTGTGAGTCTGAGACCTTTCCTGCAGCACCTGGTGTCTGCCATGAGTTGATTAAAACATATTCAGATGCTACTTTGAGTGGAAATTCAACTTTCATGTTGCCAATTCTAAATACATTAGGGATGAAATAAAAGGAACAGTGAACTTTTTCATTCCAATACATCACAGAGCCTTTCACATTAATTCAATGGATTGTGTTTTATTCGTAGGTGTTTCCATTGTGCACACAACAGGAATGTATACGTATGCTCACCCAAATTAGAATGTGCACTATTCATAGTAGCTCCAAACTGTGATATACTACAGAGCGGTTAGGATTATGTTCTACAGCAGCGTACAGTAATAACACGATGAGCAAAATCAGCCAGACTTAGCGTTGGCGCACTTTGCCGTTAGGAATCGGCTGCACTTGGTGGGAGGGGCGATTGAAGGGAGCTCTAGGGGCTTTGGGGGTTCTGCTCCCTGGTGCTGTTTGCTAGGCCATTGCCAGTCTGGAACTCATTAAGCTGCATCCATGTGCACATGTGCAAGTCCATAGGCACATATATGCAAGGCAGACTATTGACAGTGAGGTGACTGCCCTTTATTGAGCGCTTTCTGTGTGCTCGATGTACTGGCCCTGGGCCAAGCTCCTGCTATGGCTCCTTGGAAATGTGGAACGGGTTAGGGTTAGGGTTAGGGTTAGGGTCAGGGTTAGCGTTAGAGTTAGGGTTAGGTTTCGGGTTAGGTTTCGGGTTAGGTTAGCGTTAGGGTTAGGGTTAGGGTTAGCGTTAGGGTTAGGGTTAGGGTAGCGTTAGGCTTAGGGTTAGCATTAGGGTTAGGGTTAGGGTTAGCATTAGGGTTAGGGTTAGGGCTAGTAGCATTAGGCTAGGGTTAGGGTAGCATTAGGCTAGCGTTAGGTTAGGGTAGCATTAGGGTAGCGTAGGTAGGTAGCATTAGCTTAGGGTAGCATTAGG